CCCAGGCTGGAGTGCAATGGCGCGATCTCGGCTCACCGCAACCTCCGCCTCCTGGGTTCAGGCAATTCTCCTGCCTCAGCCTCCCGAGTAGCTGGGATTACAGGCACGCGCCACCATGCCCAGCTAATTTTTTGTATTTTTAGTAGAGACGGGGTTTCACCATGTTGACCAGGATGGTCTCGATCTCTTGACCTCGTGATCCACCCGCCTCGGCCTCCCAAAGTGCTGGGATTACAGGCGTGGGCCACCGCATAATTCCTGCAAACAATGGACAGACTTAAGTTCAGAGACACTGAGCTACTGGCCCAAAGGACCACAGTTGGTGGAGAGTGGACGTGTGCGTTTTCAAGATCCCAGGCCTGTTACTGGGGCACAAGGGCGGGGCCCCGAGCCTACTACCCACAGGGTACCCGAATGGTAAAAGAAAATGGTGGGTGCCTTCTGCTCACTGGAGTCCAGATTCCCAGGCCCAGGACCAACTCCTTCAGAACAGAACGCGACACCTCCCAACCCCTCCAGCCACCCACTTGCCCCAGTCTTTTCCTCCTCACTCTCCCCCTGCTCAGAAGCATGCTGGGTTCTCAGCTCAAAGTCTGAGGCTCCGTCTTCCAACAATATGGTGGAAGAAGGGAGCCCCTCACCACACACAAGACACCCGAAACCCTGGTTGGACCCATCAGCACCGGCCCGTCCACAGGGAGCCCCTGCCCTGCCAGGCATGGGAGGACCCAGGTGGGGTCCAGAACTGCTGCCCCAGGGCACAGAGGCACTGATGCTGCCTCAGCCAGGAGAGGCACCAGAAATTCAGGGCCCTTGAGGGGAGAAGCAGAACCAGGGCCTCGAGTTTGGCTAAAACCTAGCTTTGCTGCTTCTTGGCAGTGAGACACTGGGCAGGCGTTGAAGCCTCAATTGCCACCATGTGTAGAACAAGTAGCCCCACCCTGGAGGTCCGAGGTTAGGGTTAGCAGGCTCTAGATGGCCTGACTTTTGTTCAAACGCAAAGAGAGGACAAACTCATTCTGTTTAGAAAGAGGGAGGAGCAGTGTCTGAGCTGGACTCAAATGATTTCCCACAAAAATCTCTGAGATCTGGGCATGTGGGGCCTCCTGTGTTGGCTGGATGAAACAGCCTGTGAACACAGGTCTCAGAGAGCCTTGGGGCAAATTATTTCCTCAGCCCAGCATTTTTGGGATACTTTACAAATAATGAAGAATTTCTGTGAGACCACCGGCCGGCTTGAGAGCTAGCCAGTGTCACAGATCCCAGAAAGGTGATGTCCGACTAGACCGACCCACCCACCAGAAAGGCCTGCAGGGCCCCCTCTACCAGGATAAAAGATGAGAGGCCTACCGCTAACACAGGGGACCTGGCACCCTGGCCTACCAGCAGGCTGCAGGTTCAGAGGCCTGTGTCCTCCCAGCCCAGGCCACACTTGCATTTGCACACCAGATGCTGGGCGCACAGTGAAATAAAAACCCGGTGTCTCCTCAGAAGCAGAAGTGGGTATCACCCACTCCTCGGTGGGGGTCACCAAGCACTGCTGTCCAGTGGGTTATGATCCCATCAAGAACGTAACTGCTGGATCTCACAGAATCTCAGAAATGTCAGCCTCCTAAAGCTCTCTCACGTTCCTCCTGACCCAGAGAACCTGGAATTTGGTGAATTCGAGGCCGGCTGGGGGAAACTGAAAGTTTAAACTCACCTTTGTCCATTTTACACGAAGATTTACAGTAAATCTCTGGACAGGAAGCTGAGAAACCTGCCTTCCCAGGCATCTTGAATCAGGGCCCACCGGCTGCCTAAGGCTCAGCTAGAAGTAGCAATTACGCACCGTTTAGACGGCATTTAACTTAATTTTTAATCATGTGTTTTAAATCTTAATTAGACACCTAGACTTACCGACTAAACTTTTTAAGCAAAAGTGCTGCTGGGTAACAGGGGCAGACGGTGATTACCACGCCTCGACCACGCTTTGGCTTCACGCGAAACGGGAAAAGGCAAACCCAATACACTGAAAAACCTGGAAACAGCTTTATCGCCCGGTCCCAAACCTGAAGTAACTGTCTTGTTTTACCAGAAAATGTTTCTTACTTAAGTCAACGGGCATGGCGACACGAAAGTCACCCGCGGCATTTTTAAGCAAAAATTCTTTGTTTCCGGCGCCACAGTTCCCGGTTCTGTCCCATCGGTTAACGCAGCAACTCAGTTTTGGCGAAGAGATTTCAGGGAACTCCCCGCGCCGGGGCACCGAGAGCGCGAATCTGTCCCGAGGGCGATTCTTCTCCAAGGAGCCACGAGGTTGGGGAAACGGGGCCTGGAAAGTTCTCTCTGCTCCGGCAGCAGCCGCGGGCAGGTCCCAGGACCCGCGCCCGGACCCCCAGCGCGCCCGGCCCGGCCCGACCCGCCTAACCCCGGCGCCCGCCCGCGCTCCCAGTTACCCCACCCCGTACCCGCCCGCGCCCTCACCCACCCTCCCCCAACTCCCCCGGCGCCCCCACCTGCCCCGCGCCCCCACTCCCCCGGCGCCCCACCCCGCGCCCCCACCTGCCCTGCGCCCCCACCCCGCACCCCCACTCCTCCGGCGCCCCCACCTGCCCTGCGCCTCCACCCCGCGCCCCCACTCCCCCAGCACCCCCACGCCGCACCCCCACCTGCCCTGCGCCCCCACCCCGCGCCCCCACTCCCCCGGCGCCCCCACCCCGCGCCCCCACTCACCCCGGCGCCCCACCCCGCGCCCCCACTCCCCCGGCGCCCCCACCCCGCGCCCCACTCACCCCGGTGCCCAGGCCGCCTCCGCCTTCTGCGGCGCTGAGACCCATGGCTGCTGCCGCGCCTCCCGAACGCTTTCCGCCAACTCCGCGGGGTCCAGCTGCCGCCTCCCTGGGCGGGTGTTCGGGGCCCCGCCTGACCCGCGGCGCCGGCGAGAGGGGGCGGGGCCGGGGTCTCCCCGGAGGCGCCGTGGGTCGGGCCTGGGCGGGGCGTCCCCACCCGGGCGGCTCCTCCCGGAGCGCTGCGGCGGCCTTTGTTCTCTCGGGGCTCGGGAACCTGCGGTCCTGTGGCTGCCACGCCGCGCCGGCCTCCGCGGGTTTAGACGACGGGCCCTGGTTTCCCACAACGTAGACGCAGAGTCGGAACCCTCCAGGGCAGAGGATCTGACCCGGGAGTTCCTCCAGTGTCCACGAACGGGCCCGACTTCCCTGGTCTAGGCGGACGGCTCCGGATCTCGGCGGGTGTGGACGGTGCAGACCCTCCTCCCGTCCCAGGGCCGCTGTGGGAACTCGGCCTCCCCGCGCCTTGTCGGGAGAATGAAGGGCCTTGGGGTGTCTGGCCGCTGGAACAGGCTTTTTCCAGATATACAGTTTTAATGCCTCGGTCTACAAAGTGCATCCCCAAGATCCCTCTCCTACCCCTTAGTCAAGGAAGGCCACGTGTAGGGTTCTTGCTCTGAGCACCAGCTTCCTGCTGGGAATTCAGCTAGGAAAGGTCTCATAGAGTCTGCCCCATCCAGAAGGGCCTCTAGCGCACCCACCTCCATCTAGAAACCTCCCCTCCACATCTTCTCTCTCATGCCCACCCTGCACCATCCCAAAAACTGCGGTACAGATGTGCTCATTTACAGATCATGCTCCGTTTTGTCACAGGTTACAGAGTGGACGAAGGTCAGGGAGACCGGGAGGCTTCCTCCTGTGGAACATTCAGCCTCCCTAGAATCCCCCTCTACACCAATCCCCATCTACAGCCTCCTGGAATCCCCGTCTAGGCCTCCCTGGAATCCCCATCTACTCCTCCCTGGAATCTCCGTCTACTCCTCCCTGGAATCTCCGTCTACCCCTCCCTGAAATGTCTGTCTAGGCCACCCTTGAGTCTGCCTGTCTAGGCCTCCTGGAACCTCTGTCTGTGTCCCCCTTGAGTCTTCGTCTATACCTGTGTTCTCACTGTTCCCTGCCCTGCTCACCTGCTCTGCTGCCTAGAACCTCCAGCACCATCCCTGAGCCCAGGCACAGAGCTGACCTGTCCCTGCCCTCTGTGCTGGGCATCTGGGTGTCCCTCTGTGGCTGGCCCCTACCTGAGGCCCCAAAACTCCTGCCTCATCCTCCTCCCACTCCCTCTCCCCGTGACAGTACTGCCCACGGTGCTGTCCAGGATGGGAGCCACCTCATAAGCTTGTGTGGTCCCGCAGCTCCTGCCAGAGCAGGACCCAAGAATGCTGGCATGTCTCCAGAATGAACGACTTCATCCTGCTCAGCACCTCCAGGACAGTCAGGGTGCAGCCTGGAATCTCACTCTCACTGGAGACTTTGGGGCCCATGGTTGGAGCTCGTCCCTGTCACACTCCGCTCTGCAGAAAGAAAGTGACAGTGCGTGGGGCTTTCTTGGCCCAGGAGTCCTTCATGGGCTTTCTCAGCCCCAGTCTCTATGGACCCGGTTTCTTCTTTGCTATGGATCCATGGAATTAGGGATGTTTTCTAAGAAGTTTTTCCAAAACATGGACGACTAAGATAGCTTGGTTTATTCAAAAAGCACTTATTGAGAAGCTATCACTGGCCAGTCACAGCACAGCCCCCATCTTTGGAGACCTGACAGTCTAGTGGAGAGAAATAAATCAGTGGACAGAAAACACAAATCCAGTCGAGGAAGGCCTGTCTGATGGAGAAGGCTGAGCAGACACGGAGAGGAAGCTATTTGGGACTTCTTTTTTTTTTTTGAGATAGAGTTTCACTCTTGTTACTCCAGTCGGGAGTGCAATGGCGTGATCTCGGCTCTCTGCAACCTCCACCTCCCTACTGGGACTTCCAGGCAGAAGAGCCACCTGTGCAAAGGCGCTGTGTTGGGGGCCGATCTGGTGAGCTTACGAGCACAGCAAATGTGGGGACACTCAGAGGGGATGGGACTGGAAAGGAAGCGACCTGCTCTGACTCACATTTCAGACAGCTCAGCAGGCCGTGGCAGGAGATTACGAGGAAGTGGCTGCCTGGTCTTGGTGAAAGTGAAGAGGTTGGGTGAAGGGGAGTGACAGAGGTCGTAGGAAATGGTCAAAGCAGGGCCTGTAAAGGCAGAGGGGGCAGGACTGCTGAAAGGCTGGCGGTGGAGAGAAAGAATCCAAAGAGCATGGAGGCAGACACTGAGTTACTGGCCACACCCTGCCACCACTCCTGGTTTGCCCTCAGGCATGCAGAAGCCAGAGGCTGCAACACGACATCACGGGACCCCGCGCAGCTGGTGTGCAGATATGCCCAGCTTTGCCAAGAGATGCACCACGTGAGATGTGGAAGGAACACGGGAATCGGGCTGGACACAGCACATGGGTGGTGGAGGTGCTTCTTCTGGGTCCTGTTCCCAGCATTGCTAGTGCTGAGCAGCAGGGGACGGGGGTGGGGGTTCCCTAACACAGCCCTACGGCGTGGCTGGGCGTTTCTCTATTTCTCGCTGTCCTGGTTCCCTGGCTCTCCCACGGGTGCTACAGTCTACACAGCAGCTGCACGCGTGTCCCTCACTGCTTAAATCCCCGTCTATACCTCCCTGGAATCCCATCTAGGGGAGTCAGCACCAACACAGCAATTCAAGGATTTGGGGCCTGACCAGCAGGTGGAAGGTGCTGTCACGTACTGAGGTGGGAGGGACTGGAGAAGCATGTCTGGGGGGAAACGTCGAATTCAGATTGAGATGCCTACTGAACACACTGAGTGGGCTGACTGCTGTATGAGTCTGGTGCCTGAAGTAGTGGTTGGGCTGGAGATGTGGTTCGAGAACCATCTACCACACAGGTGTGTCTAGATGGGGAACTAAGAGTGCGACAGGGGAGGAGGAACCATGACTGGGCCAGTCATAAGAGTAGGCAGCTGTCCTTCACAAACTCCTTTTAAAAATCGGAATGGAGGGAGCGCTTCCTAACTCGTTGTATGAGGCCAGCACTTCTCAGATCCCGAAGCCAGAGGAAGACATCCTGGGAGAAGAAAACTACACACCAACATTGCTTATGAATACAGACGCAAAATGCCTCAAAACACTGTAAGGAAACAGAACCCAGCGGTAGGTTCCGAGGACTGTTCACCATGACGGCGTGGGATTGATCCCAGGAGCACAGGGTGGTTCCGTGGAAGGGAATCGGGCAGTGTCACGCACTGTAGTCGCAGAATGAAGGGAGAAACCCACACGATCATCTCAGTCGCTGCAGAAAAGGCATCTGTAAATCCAACGCCCTTTCGGAAAAAAAGCTCTTGGAAAACAGGGATGGGAGAAAATTCCTCAAGCGATACAAAGTATGTGTGAAAAACCCACAGCTAACATCCTCGTCCGTGGTGAAGGACCAAGCGTTTCCCCCAGATCAGGGGGCAGACAAGGGTGCCCGCTGCTGCCACCTCTGCTCACACTGTGCTGTTAGTTCCAGCGCAGCAAGAGACAACCCACAAAAAATGAACAAACCAAAGGCATTCAAATGGGAAAGGATGAGGTAAACCCTCTCTATTCGCAGATAACATGTTCCTATGCGGAGAAAATTCTCAAGAATCCACAAAAGACTGCTAGAGCTAATATAAAAATTCAACAGAGTTACAGGGTACAAGATTAACATGTGAAAACTGGTATTTGTATTTCTATACAACAGCAATGAACAATATGAAAAGGAAATTAAGAAAGCAATTCAATTTACAATAGCATTCAAAAGAATTAAATACCTAGAAATAAGTTTAACCAAGGAAGCAAAAGATTTATATGCTAAAAACTACAAAATATTGAGGAAGAAATTCAAGAAACAAATTATGAAAAGACATCTCATGTTCACAGACAGAAAGACAATATTGCTAAGACATAAATACCAAAATGATCTATAAATTCAATGCAATCTCTGTCAAAATTGCAATGGCTTTTTTTTTTTTTTGCAGAAATGAAAACACAGGTCCCCAAATTCACATAGAATTATAAGGAGCCCCAAATAGCAAAAACAATCTTGGAAAAAGAATAACAAAATTAGACGACTCATACATACTTCCTGAATTTGAAATTTACTGCATAGATACAGTAATTAGAACAGTACTAGCATCAGGACAGACTTACAGACAAACAGAATAGAAAAGAGAGCCAGGAATGGAAAGGGAAGGGACGGGAAGGGCAATGCAGGGCAGCCTGGAAATAAACTCTTAACATAGACAGTGAGGTGATTGTTGACAAGGGCACCAAGAACATTCACTGTGCACCGGACAGTCTTCTCAACCAGCGTCCCTGCTAAAACTGGGTATCCTATGCAGAAGAACGAAGTTAAACCTGACCTTACACCATGTGAAAAATTAACTCAAAATGTATCAGAGACCTAAACTTAAGAGCTAAAATTATAAAACTCTTAAAGAAAACACTGAAGTAAATCTTCATGGCATAGGGTTTGGCAACAATTTCATGGATATTGAAGCAAAAGCACTGGAAATGAAGAATTAGATACTGGGTTTCATCAAAATTAAGACCTTTTTTTACACTGAAACACACTCTCAAGAAAGCAAAAAGGCAATCTGCCAGGTGGAGAAAATATCTGCAGATCATGTATCTGATATCACATATTCTGGCCTAATTTCCAGAATATGTGAAGAACTCCTAAAACTCAACAACAAAACAACCCAATTTAAAAACGGGCACGCAGGTTGAATAGACATTTCTGCAAAGAAGACATATAAATAAGCACATGAAATGATGCCTGACGTTAGTTACTGCAGAAATAAAAATCAAAACCATAATCATGCTGCTTCCCGTCCACTGTATGGCTCTACTGAGGTACCGTTTTCACGGAAAGTGAGTGTTGGCTGGGATGTGGAGACGCTGGGACCCACAGCTGATGGGA